AAAGAATTACGAAGTCCAAAATATCAATAGTGCCAAGGTGAAAAATTCTGAACTAGATCAAGCCTAAACAAATAGTCTGCAAAAAACATTTGAGCTTCCTCTATACCCAGTGGAATGTAATAAAGTCAATCAAGGGCTACAACCATGTAAAATAGCTACATTATTCAGTCCACGGACAGGGGATGGCTTTCCCTTTATTTAGGCTTTCTTTAATTTCTTTAAGTAAAAATTGTGGTTTTCAGAGTACAAGTTTTTACTTACTTGTAAATTTACTCTCAAGTATTTTATTCTTTGGATGTATTATAAATTGAATTGTTTTCTTAATTTCCTTTTGGATTATTCATTGCTGGTATATGAAAACACAAGTGAATTTTTGTGTCTTGTACCCTGCAACTTTGATGAATTTGTTTATTAGCTCTAGTATCTTTCTTTGTGGATTCCTTGGAACTTTCTATATATATGCAGCATCATGTGATCTGTGGTTAGAGAGTGTTATTGATTCATTTCCAAATTGAATGCCTTTTATTTGCTTTAAATTGTATTTTTAAAAGGCAGACTTTAGAAACAGGAAAAGTAGTAGAGCAAAAGCATGAAGAAGACAGAGCACAGGGCAGAAAAACAACTGTAACATGAAGACATGAAAACATGAGAACTTTATAATTTTTAAAGTTCAAAATCTATGAGATTTCCCTCCCTCTCTCAGTTCTGTGAACTTCACTTCTACTGACTGCTCCTCTAATTGCTAGGAATTAAAAACAAACAAACAAAAAAACACTCTATGATGAAAACACTAGTAAAACACAAGCCAGCCTTTTGTCTGCAGCTGATTTTAATTTGTGTAGGCAGTTCATTGCTTAAGCAGCAGGATGAAAACATAGAGGTAGTGAAGTACAATTAATATATTTGAAGGTATGAATCAAATACCTCCAAAACAAAGTCCAACAATATAAAATCTTTGTTTATAGTTTTATGATAGGTAGTTTTATGACTGTCAAGTAGATTCATATAAAATATCAATTTAATCATTTTCTTCCATTTTTTTCACTGATCAGAGCCTAATACAAAATTGTTTAATTATGTTCCTCAAGGAATAATAGCAAGTCTTAGCTGTGATTATAATACTTCATGTCCACTGCAAGAACCAAAAACTATAAACTTATAAAAAGAATACAGGGCTGTGGATGCAATAAAATTCTAATTCTGACTCTTAGTATGATGTCTTGCACAATTAATTTAACCTATTAACCCCAAAATATTTCTTTTGCAGTCCCTGCCCTTTTTGAAGATTTCACTGGTCCACAGTCACCTGGAAAACATGAGGGCAATACAGTAATATTTTCATAAATTAAAATATATAGTGATATTTATCTTTCTAATATTTGTTTAATCTTCTATACCTATCACAATAAAACTTCTTTAAATTTTTTAAAAACTTTTATATTGGAACATAGTTGATTAACTACATTGTGTTAGTTTCATGAGTACAGAAAACTGATTGTTATACATTTACATGTATCTATTTTTTTTTTCCAATTCTTTTCCCTTTTAGGTTATTACAAAGTATTGAGCAGAGTTCCCTGTGCTAGACAGGTCTTCACTGGTTATCTACTTTAATCTCATATTTGCTTTGAGAGAGCCTCTGACGAAACATTAATGATGATAATAGCTGGTAGGATTTTTTGCTATTAATGTGCCTTCTTGATAAAATACTCTATAATAACGCGTATGCTCACAGCGTATTTCCATATGCTCCAAATATTTTTTGCCAGTCACCCATTTACTGCCAAATATTCCATTCATCTTCACAGCTGCTACATAGCTACATTTTCTAGGGTACTGGGAATAATCCGCAAGAATAACTCATCAGTTTCTCTATCCATATGTGTCTGTGGAATTTTCCCCTGTTTCACAGTGACAACTCCTCCTGGGATTAAAACTACCTGAATATGGAAATCATATCAGACTACAGCATATCCAAGTTTTGAAATATCTTGACACAGGAGTTTGATCTTATTTGTTTGTTCACCACAGTACAAGTGAAGTCCTAAAATAAACAAGGTGTAGAATGCCTAAAAGTTGTATCATACTCTTATCCATCAAACTCAAGTTATGGAAGACTTTTTAAATACTTTTTCTCAGGAGAGAGTTGTTTCAGCTGTTATCTAACTAGGTGTGTGAAAGTCACTCAGTCCTGTCTAACTCTTTGCTACCCCATGGACTATATAGTCCATGGGATTTCCCAGGTCAGAATACTGGAGTAGGTAGCCTTTTCCTTCTCCAGGGGATCTTCCCAACCCAGGGATAGAACCCAGGTCTCCTGCATTGCAAGCAGATTCTTTACCATCTGAATCACAAGGAAAGCCCAAGAATACTGGAGAGGGTAGCCTATTCCTTCTCCAGTGGATCTTCCCGACCCAGAAATCGAACCGGGGTCTCCAGCATTGCAGGCAGATTCCTTACCAACTGAGCTATCAGGGAAGCCTGTCTAACTAGGCTTATATCTTTAACAGCTGCTTCCCATTTTCTGAGTCTGCGTGCACAGGGAAAAACTAGCAAAAGCCACTCCTTACAGAGCAAAGGTATGAGGCGGCTTTGATCATATATCTCACAAACTCAGAGAATTTCTCCAAGGTTGATTACTTCACGTATACATTAAACTCATTCATTCTTACTACAGACCCTAGTTTGTTCCTATTTGGATTCTCTGTCTTTGCTCATTCCATTCATATCGATGATCAACCAACAGTTACTTTCTGTTTCTTTGCAAGATGCTGCCTGTCATGCAAATACCCATAATTTCACATCTGATGACAGTTTATGGACCTGCCCTACCATAGCAGTTACTTCCAATTCACTTTAAAAAGGGGTTTATCATTCTATCTGCCATTCCCAATCGCTGTTATCCTCTGATTTTCTACCTTCAGAAGGTTGTAGGTATCTTTCTGAGTTTCATCATCCAGCAGTTCCAAAAGAGAATATACAAGTGTATTTTCAGATTTTCCTTTTATTCGTTATTGTACCCTCAGTACTTCTACATGTTTAACACTAACCACAGTAAATACTTGACAAAACCTAAGAAAGTAGAGTGAATTTCCAATTGGCCCTAAAGGAATGGGCCAGTTTGGACTAGATTCCTAAATTGGGCCCTTTTCTTTGCTGGGTACCTCAGAGGCTCTATTTTTAACCTCTATTTCAGATGGTTTCTCTATATTTTCTCTATCTCTGGACACAGGTTTTCAAGTACTACAAAGTCCTCTCTGGGGCAGGAGACCTGTTGCTGAATTGACCTGTCTTAGCTGGGTTTCTGCACTCTGACCCAATCTGAATATTTGACTTATATTCCCTCCAAAAGCAAAAAAGAAGTCACAATTTATCAAATTGCCAGAAGCTGTTACTTATTACTGAACTTTCAACCCTTTAAATCTGGGCTCATCTTTCAACTTACTGAATGATGCCAGAACCTAATTTTGCCATTCATACCCTTGCTATTGCCAGGTACCTAAAATATTTTCTCTTAGCCTGTCTCACCACAGAAAAGCTGTTGATGACAAACTGCAATTTTAATGAAGTAATTACAGTTCAGGCACACAAAAACAGAGTGTGGTGCCCATTGAGGATCTGGTCTTAGACACGTCCCTGAACCATGAAACTTGAGTTTTCTGTGAACATATCAAATGAAGGACATCACCAGTGGTATCTGGAACATTAGTTGACAGCTGCCAGTTTGTGGAAGGTCACCCTTGTAACTATGCAACCATTCAGACCCTAATCAATCCTTGCTTAACTAGCACCCTTACTGCATCAGTTCCAATTATAATGCTTCACAAATAACATGTAACTATCTGTGGCCTTGCAGTTTTTGCCTTTATTAGCTTCCTCCATTTTGTAGTTCAGAAAAACATGACTGAAGTGCTTCAGTCTGTGTCTCCTGGGATAGTCATAACAAACCCCAAATAACACCTGTTCATTTCAATCAGGTCTCAGTTTTTCTGAAATTTTGATTAAGACTATCATTGCCTTGAAGTTTTGCTAACTCCTCCCAACGCTCTCACCATATCCTGCAATTTACATAAAATCTTAACTTCTAACAATATGAACTCTTACCCTTTAATGTTGAAAATCAGAGTTTTGGATAAAAGTCCTATAACTAAGCAACTAATTTCAGAGGAATTATAGAAATGTTGGGGGATATTGTTTCATTTTGCTTTGGATGCATGTATCCGCGTAAGTCATTTTAGTCCTGTCCAACTCTTTGTGGCCTTATGAACCATAGCCCAGCAGATTCCCATGCCCATGATTCTCCAGGCAAGAATACTGGAGTAGGTTGCTTTGGATACAATGGGTCAAAGGTCAAACTTATTTTAGCTTCTCTATCTCCCCAGCTTCCATAAGGTTAGTTAGTGTGCGTGCACACACACACAGCCACCACGCAAACAGTTTTACTTCAAGTGGAGACAAAAAATTAGTATTAATATGAGTTAACAGATCCTGACTTTGAAAAACACTTTGCCAATTTTCAGGGTCAAAGAGATGGTCTAGTTTCCTTGGGCAGCGCTGACTCATAGAAGACAGATGTTAACTTTTATGAGCTCTGAAATTTGAACAAAACCCAAATTTATCATTGGTAAGCCTTATGAAATGTTTCTCAGCAAATAGGGACACACACACAACAGGCTGACTTAGAGTTTCTAATCCATTCTATTCCATTATGATTTTGCTTTATTGCACTATTCTCTACTTGGATGTTCCATAAATTAAACTTAAACATAATCATTTGATTGTCATAAAGGAGTTAACTTTTTAATGAAATGTGAATTTGGGCAAATCATGTAACAGTGGAATCTTTCTTTCCCTACCTCTAAGATCAGGTAATGATACTGCCTAGGGGCAAGTGAAAGGAAACTCCCAGAGTCACTGTTGCAGAAGGTTGGACAATGAACCAGGGCTATTGAAGGGAGTGCATAAGTTTACATCCCCTACCTAATATACACCTTGGTAATTTAAGCTTCTGTATTGGGCTTTTTCTTATTTATCTTGGGCTTATAACTTATTTGGAGAGATGAGGTGAAGACTGAATCATAGTAGGAACTGAGAGGATTGCTGCATGAAATCATTTCTTGTGTTTCATGAATACTATGAAAACCAGATGGAGTCACGTGCGTGCCCAAAGGGCAAGAGAAATGAAAGGGCAGCCTGAGTGCCCCTGGATCCAAGGCTGGTAAGAGCAGCTGCGGAATAAAAGAAGAGAGTCGAAGCTCACTGCCTCGAACCCCGCAAAAAGCCAGCCACCCCTTAAAGCCCCAGTACTGTTTGGACGGAGAAGAGACCAAAATGGAAACACAGCACCTGCTTAGAAGCGACAGGCAGGCAGCCATGGAAAGACAACGCGCAGAGAAAGCGAAGGTCTGGGGCAGGTTAAAAGACGCCACGTGGACTCCACGTGCCTCTGTTTCAACAAGGCGCCGTGTGGCCACGCCCAGCGTCCGTCCTGTAGCCTCCACGTGGGGCGCCCGTGGCAAATCCCCGAGGTGAGCCGAAATGCTGGCAGACATAGCAGGGTTTTGGCTCTCTTCGGACCCCAGCCCGCTGCGCTGCCTCCTGGTGCTGTGGCAGAGCCGGGGCAACAGCATGGGAACCTGCAGAACCGAGACACCCCGCCCCTGGAGCCGGAGGGCAGAAGGTGAGCGCCCCAAGTACCTCCCAGTGCCCGCTGATCACGGTCCCTTTCCTGTGGCCATTTGGTTTGTCTCCATCCTAGGTCTCCAGACATGGAAGAAAATGATTTGTTTTCTAGTGAAGGTGGCTTTTCTCGAATTTCAGAATCCACGTTTTTAATCATCCTGCAAGCCCCATATTCCTGCGTGCTACCGGTACTGTTTTTCGTGATTTTGAATGTTACAGCGGATTAAAATTTTATTTCGTGAAATTGGAGTCCACCGTTGGGTTAAACGGAGATATCTGGGGCTTCTGCGAGCAGAGATCATGACCTCTTGTTCCATTTGGATGGAAAATGGCTTTAGGGATCGGGTGAGATTTGGAAGCCAGTGAGTTTGAGATCCCTGTTGGTGTTTTTTGAGTGATGGCTCCATGCCTGACACTTCTGGATTCTGCTAAGGGATCCAGAGACCTCGGAATATTTTTAACTATATGTTTTCTCAATTGAGTAAAAAGACCTGGGAGTGAGGGGAATGGGAAGACCTACAGGTCTTCTCTTTAATGTCAGGAATGTCTAAAATTATTTTACATTGGTAGCAAAGCACAGAAAATGACTAATGTATGCTTGTGGGGAAAAAAAGTGTTTTGAATTTTAGTACAAGCTGTTTTTGTGCAAAGTTCACAAGAAAGTACCTTTCCTTGGATGCTTACATATTTTAGAATTTAGGCCATTACATTATGTTTTTAAATGCCAGACTTTCTTCTGCATATATTTACAGCAGTTAAAAAAAAACAAACTATTTGACTTGGAATATTGTTCTAGATCCAGTTAATTATAACTCAATGAAAATTTTCTAGAAATATTACCAAGACACCTACAGTTATCTAACACCCAATACTAAACAAACTGTAGGATATGAAGCTTTAGACAAATAAATAAACATCAGCTACATGCTAATTTAATCTACTCTTTTTGGTTTTAGCTGTCATATTAGTTAACAATAGCTGTTTAAATGTAAGCAACCTCATGAATCAGCCAGGAGGCATTCTGATCAATAGCTTGGTTACTAGTCTCAATTAATCTCTAAAGAAATATGTTTTGTGTCACAAGGATGCTTTGGGTGTGCCAGTCAAGCTATGAGTTAGTAGATAAATGTTTATTTCAGCTGAAGTTGCTTGATGGGCATTATTAACTGAAGAACCATTCTAGAAAAGAAACTGTGAAAAACATTATCATACAAAATTAAATATTTTACCTTTCAGTATATGTTCTGGTTACTATGGAAACTGGCAGCCAGCCCTGGAAGCAATTAATTTTTCAGAAGCACATTCCAGAGGCTGGTGGTACATTATATTCAACAATCATAGAACTAAGTGTCCTAATATTTGGTTACTAATTTAAAATGATTTAAAAAAATGATTGCATAGTATACCTTGTTAAACTATATTGATGTGCTGGGTAGTAATATAATGCAAATCTAGACAAGCTAGGTATTTCATTGGAACAACAAACATTTTCTTAGGAGTACACAGAAATTAGATAAATTAAGGAAAAATTAAGCCTTATGGCCACAAAGAGATGGCCTCCAGTATTACAGATTTCCTCTCATAAATTATTTGTTAATAATACTAATCAATAACATCATAGGAACTATGATACAATCATTCACATATTGCATCTGTGGTTTCTTATAAACTACCTAACAAACTTGTCATATAATTATGAGATAAAATGATGATGATAATCTTCATTTTGTAAGTAATAAAATACATTAAGGTAACAAGACTTTTACTCCAAAGTGAAACAGTGTTCAAAAACTTGTAAGCAGTAAAGTAAATATGTGTAACTTTTTCAGGGTTATGTTTTCTCTGCTGTGAATCCAGTGGTAGAAGTGCATATAAAGGTAGTTGGTCTTTGAGAAAAAAACACAGAATCTCTTTATGTAATACACAGTTAAACCCAAAGGATTGGATGAAGCCTAATAACTGTGTCACTAAGATAAATTCAGTAGGCGTCTTCCTTTCACACCCCCAACCGAGGTGTATTTATTCAAGAATGAAGGGAACATATTTAATGAACATATTCTATGTGCTTAGCATACTTTCTGACATTTTTAGCTATTTAATTAGATCTGAAAAATGTCTTTAAGGTAGACTTAATTTCAGTTAAATTCAAAATTTAAAATACATGCAAGTAGTTTTTATTATTTTCAGATAATTGGTACTAGAAAGGGGAAAAATAAAAGGAATGAAATACCATAGCAATTAGCAATAGTAAGCTTGTATTGGAACTTTATATTAAGTATTGAAAAATTAAAAGCACTTATCTGACCTTACATACAATAAACTATAGGTTATAACTGTAACTTTTTCCTTGTATTTATTAAACTCTGTAATAAAATAGGTTTCATTTGTATATTTGGATATTTGGGACATAATTGTTTTGAAAAGTATTTCATTTAAAATAAGATATGTTTAATACCACCTTTGATTTGCCAAATAAGACTACTTATTTGTAAAAATATCTTAGGAAAGTTTTCAGTTTTTCAGTTTTGTAAAGTCTTTCCTTAATCCTATGGTCTTTAAGTAATCCTGTTTTGAAGCACAAAGACTATTGTTATTTTTGTGATGTTTTCTTTTTCAAACTTTATCATATCTAATGCTGAGACATCCTTCTTTAATACCTTTGGGTTTAATTTGAGTAGTTCTTAGCTTAATTTTAATAAAGCTTATCACATTTTGTACTTTTTAGTTCATTGGAAGAAAATTTTTTGCAAATTATTTGAATGAACTTTTCTGTTGCAAATCAGTCACTCAACAGTAATTGAGTTCTTACTACGAGTTATGTGTTTGGCACTGTTTTAGGTTTAGGGATGAAAAAGAACTGACTTCTTTAACCATGTGGAACATGTATTTATTTGGGGAAAACAAATTAGAGTTAATCAGTTTATAAAACACCCAGATAATGAGTATTGGTATTCAAAAGTACTATGGTTACAAAACTTGACTAGGGGTGGGTGGAACTGCTGCTTTAGCTGAGTGGTTTGGAATAATCTATGGAACTTATACACTGAAAAGATGTGAGAGAGTCATCTGAGTATACTGGGAAGATTGTTCTAAATACAGAGACTAGCGAGTACAAAAGTATTGGAGGGGAACATGGTCTATGTGTTTGGTAAGCAGGGTAAGGACAGCTGTAGGTGGCATGTACAGAAAGAGAGGTTGGAGAATTAGGCACCTGGTTCAGTAGAATCAGATTGACCATATTAGTGAGTTTGGATTGTATACTGATTGAAATTTAAGAAGTTTCATATTATTTTTATAGGGAAATAGTGGGATCTATTTTTGAAAGAATTGCATTGGCTGTTAGGTAGAAGAAAAACTTGGTAACACGGATGATGATCAGAATGCTATTGTATTTAGGGGTGAGTTTATAGCAAAATGGCTAAGGATTGTAAAAGGATGAAATATAATTCAGTTATGTTCAGGACATATTTGAAAAGTAGAGCCAATAGGTTATAATAATAGATTATAATACAAAATGAGAGAAAGGACCAAGGAATATTCCTAGGTCTATGGGAAAAGAAGCTCACTGCCTCATATTTCCATTTACTGAAGTAAGAAGACTTGGTTATAGGTTAAAATCAAGGATTATTTTTTTCTGTTTGGCAAAGTGAAGTTGGATATAAGTACTAGATCTTCACGGAGGAATAGTGTGTAGACAGTTGGCTATAAATGAAGGTGAGGGCTATAAGTATGAAGTCAGTCACCAACCTATAGGTGACATTTTAAAACATGTAAATAATGTGAAGAAATGAAAATAAATGTTTTTCAGTGGCTGCTAAAATCATTAGGTGAAAGGTTGGTAGAGAAATGTTATAATGGATGCATAAGATCCTAACAGGCTGATCAATTTTAACTGCTTACAGAGATGGACGTGTTGTGATTTGAAATGCATAACAGCTGAAAATAAATGACACCACCTGTGAAATGGCCCTGTCTAAAAATTTAATGTGAATTTCATATATTTCTAGGTCTAATTAATTTTATAGAAAGCATAGAGATTAAGAGCATGGTGACATTTTTGGGGGTGGAATTAAACAAATAGAGGATGTTGGGAATTCTACTGGATGAAGGACAGGTTTCTTCAAGAAGTGAGTTGGGGAAATAAAGGAGAAAAACTGTTATAGAGTAAAAACTAAATTTTTAAGTTATGAAAAGCTCAACCTGTGGGATTTATTAGGATCCCAGTTTAAACAAAGCAAATGTAAAAAAGACATTTCTAGAAATGGGGTAATCAGGAAGATTTTAACATTTACTGAATACAATAAATAATTGTTTGGTGATGGACAAACAATTACTGCACAAACAAAAACAGCACTGGCCTGCTGCAGTCCATGGGGTCGCAAAAAGTCAGACAGGACTGAGTGACTGAACTGAATTAATTGTTTTATGGCTGTGCTTTAAAAAGCAATGGATTATTTAAGGGGGAAATGATTTATGCCTTATTTAAATGATTCAGCTTGGGGCATGTAGATAATAGGTATTATAAATAAACCAAGATTCATTGTATGTTGTTCATTATGCACCTGAGTTATAAAAAATGAGGTTTATGAATCTTTATCTATGTTTGAAAATTTCTATACTAAACATGTTTATACCTAAATAAACAAAAGAGTAAATATATAAAATGTTAAAGAATAAAGCCATGGACAACTTAAGGAGCACATGTACATAGAGCAAAGAGTTGAGAGTTGAGAGAAAGAGTTGAGAAGAGCTTGGAGGAGCTCAACACTTAAGGATTAAATAGAAGAGCCTGCAAAGAAGAGTGAGACAGACTGTTCAAGGAAGTTGGAGGAAAGCCAGAAAAATGCCATGTCACAACATATATATATATATATATATATATATATATATAAGAAAATATAGAACATTTTGACAGGATGAAGAGAGTAGTTAGGAGTCTAAAATGTTG